GTCGAATCAGAAGAAAAGTTCTTTGCAAATAGTTCTGCCTTATTCTTGGGATGGTAAGAGTATATTTTTTTAAAAAATTCAAAATGATTTGTTCTTCTATAGCAAATAAATACACCATAAATCTGAAGTCAAAAATGTAACAAAGAAAAACATCATATGTGAATTGAAAATCAATGTACCTGATAGAGATAAGCTGTGGTGATACCTGAGTAGTAGTTGCTAAATATAATTTTTTTATGATAAACAAATTGTATTTATAGAGAAATGATGTCTTGAATGAATTTCAGTAAATAAATAAAAGCAGTGAGTTCTAATAATGAAACTACCTATCAATCATTTTTAACAGCTGACACCAACGTAAAGATAAACCAACGGTAACAACATTACGCGAAAAATTATTAAAGATAAAGCAATGTGTTTTCAGAATAGTTATATTAAAGGCTAGGCAACACTTAGACCTAAAGCAGTAACATTGCTTGACTGGTTGCTAAATCTTGCTCTACACATTTGCCAAGTCACTTCACTTTGAAATCATGGAAACAACATTATATAAACATATATACTAATTGTAAAACAATATATTTTTTTAATGTTACTTAGCATATAAAAACACCCCATTTAACAATCTTGCAGAAATTAGATATAATACATTTCATACTATTATAAAAACACATTTATAAAACAACTATATAACATATATCACCACATACACGTATTTATCAAAAATTTTTTAACTTTGATCATAATATACATGCAAACATATATGCAAACTTTTAACAACTATAAAACAACATTTATTAGCATCAATTATTTTAAATGTAACAAAGAATGCAGACTACAATGCACGACATTGTTAATAAAAATGAAGTTATGTCAGTCAGTATATATTTATCTAAAGTAATGAAAAAGAATAAACCATTTAAAAACAAAATTAAAAATTTCTAATGAGTATATATTTAGATACCTTAAAATGAAGCGTAACACAACACTCTTTTGACAAATTCCAGAGCAAATTTTCTAAATTTTTCTATTCCTTATTATTTTTCCTTAGAGAAAATATACATATAGATATAAAATATAAAATAGACTGAAATAAATGCAAACTTATGTATATAAACTTACATGACCACAAATAACAGTCTTATTTTTATTTAACATTTCATATTAAATACATAAATAAAATTTTATTCTCATTATTCTTTCTATATAGAAAAAATCTTAGCCTATGTATGAGAAAATGAAGTAAACTTACTAAAAAAGCATTTCGTCTTAACTGCTCTAAAAATTAAAGCAAATACTTGCTTAAAATGTTTTAAAAAGACTAATGACAGAACTGAAACAGTTTTCTTAAAAAAGAAACATTGTGCTAATAAAACTATTTTACCAGTCAATTTAGTTCTAACTTCTTCTAAAAAATGAAAAATAAATACATAATTAAATACCTTATAATGAAGCATAACACAACATTCTTTTGAGTCAAAAAAATTCTTCTGGAATTTGTCAAAATTTGACAAATTCCAGAAGAATTTTTTTTATTTTTCTATTCTCAATAACTTTTGCTAAGAGAAAATATACATATAGTATAGAGAAATATAAAATAGACTAAAATAAACGCAAACTTATGTATATAAGCTTACATGAACACAAATAACAGTCTTATTTTATTTAACTTTTTATATTAAATACATATATAAAACTTTATTTTATATATAATTTTTTTTGCAAAATACAATCTTTATCTATAAATAAGAAAACGAGTTGAACTTACTAAAAAAACCATCAGCTTCTCCTAACTGCTCTAAAAAATAAAACAATACTTACTTAAAATGTTCTAAAAAGACTAACGACAAAATGAAACAGTTTACTAAAAAAGAAACATTTTACTAAAAAAACTATTTTACCAAACATTTAAGTTCTAACTTCTTCTAAAAAATAAAAACAGACTATAAAAGTTAGAAAAAAAAAAAAATAAGCAACAACAAACTAACAATTATTTAAATTTTTATTTAAAAAAATAAACAACATCAATTCTTTTTGAAAATAAGTGCATCAGCTCCAATTTGGTTGCTGATTTTACTCGTAAGACCGCATGGAATATACAACTGCGCTTAGAAAAGTTTAAAAACTAAGAAATAGTGTATTTTACATAATACAGAACCGTAATTAACAAAACGAACAATAGGCGTAACAATGCGTAACTATGCGCACTAATAATATTCATTCAGCTATTAATATTTAGATTAGAAGTAATTTGTAAAAGCGTTTTGCATAACTTTAATAAAACGTTTTGGAAGATAAATTAAGTAATTTATTTTAAACACAATTAAAAACATAACAAAAAGTAACTTTTGCTTCAAGTTTGAGTTTTTTGAGTTTTATATAGCGCATATATATTTTCTTTTTCGTAAGTAGTTGTTTTCTTTTTTCATTATGATTTTTTTAAATTTACATCCTATTTTAAGTTTAGCTAAGGTTTCTTTTTTCATAGCATTTCTAAAATGTTTCAAAATCATTTAAACATGTAAACCAAAAAATAAAATTGGACCCACTCTATCTGCTTAGCTTGAGAACCATCATTCAGCAAAGTTTCAATTTATGACAAAAGTTTATATTTTGCATTTTAAATCCCATCAAATTAAACACAAAAAATTGTATAACCTATAGCACCATAGTTTACCAAGTACAACCAATATAGAGTGAGCGCAAAATTAGATCACTGAAAAAAAATGACGCAAAAAAACTTTAAATCAATGGTGCAAATGAATTTTTTGAGGAATAACTTTCAAAATGTGTCAAAATGTAGACAAGAATGTGTTTTACTATAAAAATGCAAAATATAGCCATAATTCATTTTTTTAAAAAAATAAATGCTAGTGTTCCAATTAAAGTGCTGTTCCAATTATGGCAACTCTTCCCTATATATGTTATTAACCCTCGGAATTAGGAAAAAATGTCTTCAAACTGTTAGACATTAGCATCAGAAAGGCAAAAAAAATTTGACACTAAGGGGTTACCATAAAACAAAGAAACATGGTTGGCGATTTTTTGTCGTCCTCAAACACTTTAAGGTCGGCAGTTAGGTTGGCATTGCCAAATGCCAACCTTAATTCCAAGGGCTGTGTTATATAGACTATATAGTATTAAGTTAGTTATTGTAATCATTGTTTTTATTTAAGTCAAAAAGTTATGAATAGAAACAATGAAGGGTCTAATAAAGCTTTTGCTTCATTTAATTTTTTGTTTTCTTAAAAAAATTTCATAAATGATTTTTAAAGAAATAATAAGACTATTATTTAAAAGTAATTTATTAAAAAGTTAATGTTCATTCATTCAAAGGTTAATGTTTATTCATTCAAAAGTTAATTTTCATTCATTAAACAAACTAATGTTCATTTATTAAGTAAGATGTTTAGTCATTAATTATATTCAAAAGTTAGTTAATTATATTCAAAAGTTAGTTTTCATTGTAGGTTGAAGGTTGCCAGCATTTTAAAAGCACAGAGAAGATGATAACCAAATGGATATGTGGTGTGTAAATAATAAGAAAAAAAGCAATGATCTTATATTGAGACCGAGTGTTGTGAGTGTATCTGATAGGGTTCCTCAAGAAAGATTAAGGTGGTTTGGGCATATAAAGTGTAAAGATTCTGATAATTGGGTATCAGCATGCAGAGAGAAGTTATAAAACAAGTAGATAGTGTAGCTTTATAAGATGATAACAATGATGTTTTATATGTTGATGATGATGTTATTTTTATAGCATCAAACCTCAGACTTTTTTATTCTGTCAGCGTTCTGGTTACTCAAATATAATATTATATAATAAACTCAAATAAAAATAAGTTTAATATTTTTTCAGTAAAGGTGTAATTAACCTTTTTACAAAATTAAAATTTAAGATTTATAGTTAAATAGTTGAAAACTAGTTTGGAGAGGTTACAATATTATTTTAAAAGATAGCGAATAAAACATTGTATTTATCTTGTTTACTTTAAATGAGATTATTTGAGAATAACCATCATATTAACCTCCAAGATAAATAATTATTTTTCATGGCGTAAATAAAGAGAAAATGTTACAAAGCTAACTTTGGTTGTAACCCTAATCTCTTTGAAATAGTTTTCGATTGTTTAGTTATTGAGAAGTTTATATTTTTTTAGTTATAGAAAAGTTTATATTTGTTCTAAGTTTATATTTGTTGCAGAATGTGAAGCGCAAGTTGCAAAAAGTAATAAGGTGTTTTGAAACAAATAGAAAAAAATTAAAAAATTTTTTTTTATCTTTTAAACTTAGATAATATTTTTTGACCAAAAAAATGAGCTTATACTTACTTCTCAGTCTAATAAGAAGTGGTTTTAGTTTCTTCATAAACTAAAGCACAACCACAGGTAAAATATTATGCAAGTTAAATCTAAATTTTATTTATTAAGTAAATTTTATTTAAAACCATTATGTATTTTTTCTTAAAAAGGTTATTTTTTTAGGGACATTATAAATAGTAAGGTCTTTTTTTTTTGAGTTTTAAATTTTAAGCCATGAATTCCAAAAATGAAATAATCAATCATATTTTATTATAATATTTTAGATATATCATCCTTTTTTTTCCTCTTCAATTCAAAGTGAGACTAAAAAGTTTCCAAACATCTTTACTAGTTTAATAAAAACAAAAGTAATTAGTATTTATTTTGCGTAAAAATATTTACTAATAAAAACTTTCTAAATATTGGTTTTAATCTTTTTTTTGCCAAAAATATTCACCAAATTTTGTGGTTCGAGAGCTTTTCTCTTTATTTTATCAATACTTTATCTGAAATTGGTATTGCAGATAAAGTCCATATTGAAATCCTAACTCAATATCTGCTTTTTTTAAAGATTTTTGCCACTTTTTACCACCAGGTGGAAACCAATAGTAAATGCTGTGTTTACACTTTTTTATTTTTATTTTATGGGTTTTTATTTTTAAGTTAAAATAAACTAACATGTGGTTAAATTTGTTTCAGTTTGATGTTAATGAAGATATTGGTAATGGTACTCGGTTGATTCATTGTGCAGCTGATTATGGTCAACTTGAAGTCATTGATTATTTGATATCAATTGGCGCTAACATTAACGTAAGATATTATACTATTTAACATTATATTATAAATGTTTTAACAGTTGTTTTTAAAAACACATCACTTTTTTTTTTTTCAAATGTGATAGGGTCAAAAACTAATACTTTAAATAAACAAACTTCTCAGCTGTAACAGTCCAGATTTTTTTTTCTGTGATAAAAAGTACTAAAAGTCAATTCTTCTAAACATGTTTTTTCGTCACTTTCGTCACTTCACCCTAATCAAAACTGTATCAGTTTAATTATTAGATATAAAGACAAGCTTGCTAGACCTCTCATAATAGCTTTAAAAAAGTAAAGTTTTCTTTCTTTCAAAAATAATTATTATCAATATTTGCATACCTTTTTTTAATTAAGAAAGCTTCATCCTATTTTTATTTTGAATAAACAAATTAACATAGTGTTTATAAAAAATCTGTTTTAGGTAATGAACTATATTTAGTTAATTCCTAATATGTCTTAGAATTGTTGGTATTTTGAGATGTTTTTTTAAAATTTTAACATCTTCCTTGTTTATGGTTAGATGTGTTTAATAAAATTAAAAAAAGAAGACTTTTTCATTAAAAATATCCTAACTTAAAACCATTCTTTTTTTAAAAGTTATCAAATTGAAACCAAAAATCAAAATAATTTATAGTGAATGTTTTTAGGATTGTTGTTAATATTGCATTTTTTTTTTAAATAATTGTTTTACCTATCTTTTTTCCTTCATAAAAAATATATAATTATTTTTATTATATATATATATATATATATATATATATATATATATATATATATATATATATATATATATATATATATATATATATATATATATATATATTTATCAACTTTTATCAGATAAAAACACATAAACTACTCTCAGATGATCCAACAAAAAGTATAGCGAGAAAAAAAAAGCTTTTTTTTTAACATTATCTTTAATATAAACACAACATGTGTTGGGAGTTTGGGATCCCTTTAAGATACAATAAGATTATATCGAACAATTACTACCTAATAAAAGAGCTGCAACAACTAGCATAAATTTTAGTTTTATGAGGCTACCCTATTCAATCTATTAACAAATGTTTTAAAAAGTACTACGGTATACACAACACAAACTTGTCTACAACAAATATAAAGAAGAAAGAGAAAAAGAGAAAAATTTACCAATAGTTACAACATTTAGAAAAGTCGGAAAACTTATTAATAAAATATTAAAAAAGCACTGGTATATTATTGAACAGGATACTGATCTTAAAAATTTAAAGCCAACTCTACCTATTGTGAGTTATAAAAACATTAAATCAATCAAGAAATTTCTAATCCAGACAGCACATAAAAAAACATTCAGAAAAAGTCTATTTTTTCTTTACCAAGTTACAATTCCTAGGTGTTACTATTTACATAATATTGTTGGTTTACTTTTTATCAATTTTCTAGTTTTATTTATATTTAATTAGTTAGAATTAAACTTTTTATCCTGTATTTGTTAATTAACATATATTTGTTTTATCTCAAATATATGTTGACTCGAACCATAGAGAAAACCTCATTTTAAAATATGTTTTCCTACTCTTTACATTATTTTTCTATTTTGGTTAATTTCTTATATTATCCAATTTAATAAATACCCATTTTTCCAATATTTTTACCCGCTTTTTAAATCATTTTGATATCATGCCTTATATCATTGTAATATCAAACTTTTTATCAACCACCCATTTGGCTTAATTTTATTTAGTCTTATTACAGTGTTTAGACTTATTACAGTATTTTATTAATATCCGCTGGTTTGCATATTATTACTATTATCAAGGAATTTTTAAGCTATATTATCTTATATTCTTTGCTCATCTGTGTTTTTAGTAAGTGATTTATTTAGTTATTTTTATTTATATTGTACAGTAGATTTACACTTTTTATATCATATCGAAAAAATATTGGTCTTTTACAAATTTGGGTATGGTTGGGTTTTGGGTATTTGTAGTGAGCCTTTTTTTACTGCAGTCGTAAGTCGCGGGGTAAAGTATAAGTGGCGATTACGTTTGTCTGAGGGGGTGAACTAGTTATTAGTAACTAATTATAATTCTCATTAAATTGCCATTAATAGACGCGACTCTGAGAAGATGTTTATTATTTAATCACTACACAAATTATTTTTACTCATTAGCATTTTTTTTTTTCCATTTTTATGTCTTACATTGTTTTATGCATACTTTTTAATTTGTAGTCAATTATTTGTTTTGTATGTTGTTGTTTGGTGATATAATTGTTGTATGTCTTTGTTTATCTTAAATTTTTAAATATATATATATATATATATATATATATATATATATATATATATATATATATATATATATATATATATATATATATATATATATACTATATATATATATATATATATATATATATATATATATATATATATATATATATATATATATATATATATATATATATATATATATATATATATATATTAATCTTTTTTTATTGTAAGTATTGTTTAGGTGTATTGTCTGTCTTATTTTCGTCATTATATGAGTATTTTTTTAAATATTTTTCTATTAATCTTCATTTTTGTCTAAAGAACTGTCAAAATAAACTTTGTTCGAAAAATAATTTTCTATTCTAATGTATTTTTAATTTTTCTCTCAGACCTGTCACTGCGTTCGTTTGTGACTATTTAGCAAATTTAAATACCAAAGTTTTTAAAAAATATATATGTATATAATAATTGTTTTACTTTGCTTTTTCTATCGATAAAAAATATAAAATTATTTTTGTTAAATTTATATATATATATATATATATATATATATATATATATATATATATATATATATATATATATATATATATATATATATATATATATATATATATATATATATATATATATATATATCAAGCCTTCCCAGGAAAGGCGTGCGGTTTTTTTTCTCGTATGACCACATGCGATTACACTATTTTAGAAAACGTGAACACGGCCGTTTGCAAAATAATAATGCTGAAAAAGTTTCAAAAACAAAAAAAAACATAACTTACAAAATAAAAAGAGATTAAAATAGAAAAAAATAAAAACAAATTAATAATTTGTGTACTGTTTTTATTTTTGTTTCTTTAACATTCAACAACAAAAATTAGATAAGGCGAAGCAAAAAAAAAAAAAAACAGTTTGAAGTCTACAATAAAAAAAAAATGATTTTCCTTTTCTTAATTTTTTTTAAGAGGATAGCAAAAATACAAATTGCAATGTGTTTGCAAATTTATTTATGTAATTTTAATGTAACAACAAGGGTTGAATTAAGCGAATGCAAAACGCAAAATCTGGAAAAATAACTTGTATTCAAAATTTTAGTTTATACAAAACCGTGTTCCTTGTTTTTAAGGGAAGAATCAACTTAAATTTGGTAGCAAAAAAATAAAACAATAAACTTACAATTACAAAAGTAATAACACTCTAGTCACTAACTGCATTACAAAAGTAATAACACCATAATAGTGTAATTATTTTTATAACTTTTAAAATTAATTCTTTGTTCAAGCAACATTAATATTCCCATATTTTAATTGAAGTAGAAAAATATCTAAAAGAATAAAGTAGATGTTCATATAATATTAAAAATTAAAGTAACTTATAAAAACTTGCCAAACAACTTTATGAAAACGTATCGTATTAAAAGTTTAGCATTATGAAAAACCTTACTAATGGACCGTAAAAACGCGCGTTAATTTTAAAATTAACCAATAAAAATCTTTTTATTGGTTGATTTTAAAATTAACGCGCGTTTTTACGTAACGTTTTTCATAATGCTATACTTTTTATAAAGTAACATTGTTTAAGCGATATGTGAAAGTTCCTGAAATTTTTAATAATATTTGAATATCCGCTTTTTTTTCTAGATGCTATTCTACTTTAATAAATGTTTAGAATTAATAATGTTGTTTGAACAAAGAATGAACTTTAAAAGTAATAAGCACTTTATAAATGTAATAACACTATTATAGTTTTATTACTTTTATAATGCAGTTAGTGACTAAAGTGTTATTACTTTTGTAGTCGTAAGTTTTTTGTTTTTGTTTTGTTTTTTGTAACTTTCTCGCTAGCAAACTTTTAATAATTTGCTCCTTATAAACAAAGTACATGAACTAAAATTTTAAAGACCTAATATTTTACCAGAGATTGCAAATCGCGATCGTATAATTTCTTAAGTAGTTATTAATTTTAAAACAATTTTTCAGCAACGCATATAATCAAACTTGCTCAAACGGCCGTGATCACGTTCTCTAACTTGAAAAACATTTTCGTGGCTGTACAAGACAAAAAACCGCACTCTTTTCCTGGGAAGGCTTGATATATATATATATATATATATATATATATATATATATATATATATATATATATATATATATATATATATATATATATATATATATATATATATATATATATATATATATATATATATATATATATATATATATAACTTTCTTTTTGCTATCATTAGGCTCATCAGAATAGCATATTTATATGCGCAATTGCTCACTTTTTTTGCTAGCCTAAATTAAGTGTGCATTTTTAGAAAACGATGAGGGAAAACAAAGAATAATGAATGAAAAGGTTGCTGACCCATACCAAACTCTCAGTCGATGTAGCAGTACTCCACTGCAAGTCAGGCTATGTATGTACTGAAGCCCCCGGCTATTTGACGTTAGGTGAGTATGATATCATCATGCTCACCTAACTCAGCAGTATAAGATATATATATATATATTTATATATATATATATTTATAAATATATATATATATTTATATATATATATATATATATATATTTATATATATATATATATATATATATATATATATATATATATATATATATATAAATATATATATATATAAATATATATAAATATGTATATATAAATATATATAAATATATATATATATATATATATATATATATATATATATATATATATATATATATATA